AGTTGAGCAAAATCTAAACTCGTGTGATGTATCGCTTGAGCATGAAGAGAATCTATCCCCCGAAATACAAAGGTTGATGGACCAAGAGAATCGTATAATCCAACCCTACCAAGAAGAAGTTGAACAGATTAATCTAGGGCAAGAAGAAGATAGGAAGGAAATATCAATCGGCACGAGGATGGCAAAGGAGGTCAGGAGTCATCAATTGATCGACCTCTTGAAGGAATATGTTGATGTTTTCGCTTGGTCTTATCACGACATGCCAGGATTAGACTACGAAATCGTTGAACACAAATTGCCCATAAAAAACAAAATTCCTCCGGTAAAGCAAAAACTTCGAAGGATTAAACCTGAGTGGTCCCTCAAAATAAAGGAAGAAGTTTAAAAACAACTAGACGCTGGGTTTTTGGTTGTATCTTGGTATCCTGAATGGCTTGCGAACATAGTGCATGTACTAAAGAAGAACGGGAAGATACGAGTTTGTGTAGACTATCGAGATCTAAATCGAGCCAGTCCCAAAGATGACTTCCCACTACCACACATTGACGTGCTCGTAGACAACACATCTACGAACACTATTTTCTCATTTATGGACGGATATTCGGGATACAACCAGATCAAGATGGCCATCGAAGATCAAGAGAAAACTTCTTTCATCACCCCTTGGGGCACCTTCTGTTACCGGGTGATGCCTTTCGGTTTGAGAAACGCAGGGGCAACCTTTCAAAGAGCAATGGTAACCCTATTCCATGACATGATCCACAAGGAGGTAGAGGTGTATGTAGATGACATGATTGCTAAGTCGAAAGATGAAAATGATCATCTTATCCACCTAAGAAAACTGTTCAATCGGCTTCGTAAATACAAATTGAAGCTAAATCCTACCAAATGTACTTTTGGAGTCCGATCAGGAAAACTCCTTGGGTTCATCGTTAGTGAAAAAGTGATAGAAGTGGATCCAGACAAAGCCAGAGCCACAATCGAAATGCCGCCCCCTAGGACAGAAAAGGAAGTCAGGGGATTTCTTGGTAGGGTGAATTATATAGCTCGTTTCATATCTCAGTTGACTGACACATGTGCTCCTATCTTTAAGCTGCTCCGAAAGAATCAACCCGTGGAATGGAATGAGGAATGCCAAATCGCTTTCGATAAGATTAAGCAATGTCTCATCAATCCACCAATATTGATGCCTCCTATTAAAGGAGAACCTCTCATCCTATACCTCACGATCTTGGAAGATTCCATGGGATGTATGCTAGGACAATTAAACAAGACTGATAACCAAAAGAGAGCTATCTATTACTTGAGCAAGAAATTTACTGATTACGAAGCTCGGTATTCTCCTTTAGAAAAAACATGTTGCACCTTGGTGTGTGCCACCCGGCGGCTAAGACAGTACGTGCTGAGACATACCACCCAGCTGATATCCAAAATGGATTCTATCAAGTACCTACTTGAAAAGTCTGTTCTGGTTAGGAGAATTGCCAGATGGCAAGTCCTGCTATTAGAATATGATATTGTATATGTCTCGCAAAAGCAATCAAAGGTAGTGTCTTGGTCGATCATTTAGCAAACGGACCGATCAAGGACGAATACATGGTCAAGGAGGAATTCCCCGATGAAGAAATATTGACCTTGAAGGATGAGCCAAAAAAGCAAAGTCAAAATGAATCCTAGTCGATGTTCTTCGACGGCGCCTCCAATATAATGGGGCACGGAATAGGAGCCATACTGATATCGTCCCAAGGAAAACATATCCCGGTGACGGCAAGGTTGGACTTTGAATGCACCAACAACATGGCTGAATATGAAGCTTGTATACTGGGTCTACAGGCTGCGCTCGGTAACGAAGTCACCGAACTAGAAGTCTACGGCGATTCAGCTCTGGTGATATACTAGCTACGAGATGAATGGGAAACGAAGGACTACAAATTAATCCCCTATCGTGCATACGTTCAGGATTTGATGTCTCAATTTGAATCCATTAACTTTGAGCATACCCCAAGAGAAGGGAATCAGTTAGCAGATGCGCTGGTCACACTGGCTTCCATGTTTGCTATAAAAGAGGGATGTGAAATACCAGTCATCAGAATCAGATGACATGAGACACAAGCTCATTGTTGCACACTGGAAGAAGAGGAAGATGGCCATCCTTGGTATTTTGACATCCATCAATACATCAAAGAAGGGAAATACCTAGTCGGGGCATCTGACAATGACAAGAAAACAATCAGACGAAGGGTTGTCGGATTCGTATTACATGAGAACATCCTGTACAAGAAGAGTTTTGATTCCATCTTGTTAAGATGTATTGGTCAGAAGTAGTCTCAATCATTAATGAAAGAAGTCCACGAAAGAACCTTCGGTACCCATATAGCTGGACAGGTCATGGCCAAAAAGATCATGAGGGCAGGATACTTTTGGTCCACTATGGAGAAGGATTGCATCATATATGCTAGGAGGTGCCACAAATGCCAAATATATGCTGATAATATCCAAGTCCCACCAAGTGAGCTCAATGTAATGGCCTCACCCTAGCCTTTCTTGATGTGGGGCATGGATGTCATTGGACCTATTGAACCCAAGGCCTCAAACGGACATAGATTCATTCTAGTGGCTATTGATTACTTCACCAAATGGGTTGAAGCCACGTCATACGCACATGTAACCCGTAAAGTGGTGGTCAATTTTGTCAGAAAAAACATAATATGTCGTTATGGAATACCTGAAAAAATTATAACAGACAATGGGTCTAACCTCAACAACAAGATGATGACTGAATTATGTGACTCTTTCAAGATTCAACATCATAACTCCTCCCCTTATAGGCCAAAAATGAATGGGGCAGTTGAGGCAGCCAACAAGAATATCAAAAAGATCATTCAAAAAATGGTCGTTACACATAAAGATTGGCATGAGATGCTACCTTACGCATTGCATGGGTACAGAACATCCGTTCGCACATCGACGGGCGCCACCCTTTTTTCCTTAGTATACGGGATGGAAGCAGTCTTGCCTATCGAGGTGGAAATTCCTTCTTTGAGATTACTCACGGAGGCAAAGCTCCCAGAAACTGAATGGGTTCAAACCAAATTTGACCAACTAAATCTCATAGAAGAGAAAAGGTTAGACGCCATTTGTCACGGGAAAACATATCAAAGGAGAATCAAGAGAGCCTTCGACAAGAGAGTCCAACCGCGACCATTTGAAGAGGGGGACCTAGTACTCAGGAAACTTCTACCAGCACAGAAGGATAAGATAGGGAAATGGAAGGCCCATACGTGGTCAAGCGAGCCTTTTCTAGAGGAGCATTGATCCTTATTAGCATGGATGGTGAAGAACTCGCTTACCCAGTAAACTCTGATGCCGTGAAGAAGTTCTATGCTTAAGCGCAAAAAAAAAAAGGGCGTTAAAGCAAGACGAACTGATGGCCTAGAAGCCCTATCACCCTCTATAGAAGTCAAGAAATTACTTGAGGTAGTGCTAATCAGACGACTAGGAGGATGCCAAGCTTCGTTTCTGAAAGTCATGATCACTCAAGCCCAGACACCGGCCAACCTCTGTCAGTGTTTCAAAACCTCCTCTTGTAACCCTCCTTAAAATTTTCTAAATGGTAATAAAATACCATTTTTCTCAGCTCTTTCAACCTTTATCTTTAAATGACATATTTTGGTATAAAAGAGAAAAATCAAAATAACCAAGCAAAAAGGCAGTTAAATAGATGAGACAATCCTATACGGGCCTCTAAAGCAAGCAAAAGTTATGTGCAAATCTTCAAAAAAAAAAGAAAAAAACGGTAAAGAGAAGCCACTTGATACCAATAGATTTCTAAAAAGCTTAAATGTATATGTATGGCATACAGAAAAGCGCGCACTTGAAATAAACAACTTTTCACATTAAAAGGGAATTATCCAAAAAGGCAGTAGGTTACAAACATTTTCGATCCATGCATGCATCATGAATAAAATCTCTGAAGAAAGCAATCAAGAAAGGAGCCACGTGTGAAGGGGCAAAACTCTTCCTTCACGACAAAAGATCAGACAGGGTCAAGTAAATCCTTTACAATGACCAGCCATAGACAAAAAAAGGCAAGCTTCGTACATGTTGAAAAGCCGAAGCATTTAAAAAAATATATATATAGCAGAAAAAGGCAAGCTTTAAATGTGAAAAAGCCGAAGCTAAACAAAGAAATGAAAAAAAACCTACAACAAGAAGTGTCTGGAGAGGCATCACAATACTCAAGCGGCAAGAGCAACATTGGAATCTCTGCCAGTCATCCACTTCTCTGCCCACCAACACAGGGGCACATCAAACATCTCCTGCCCATCAACCTGGGGGCAGTCTTTCATCTCACATCACCAACAAGAAGATATCAAGTACAAGACCAGTAAGGGTTGCTAGATCCCTAAAACTAGTACAAGATCAGTAAAGGTTGCTAGATCCTCAAAACTAGTACAAGATCAGTAAGGGTTGCTAGATCCCTAAAACTAGTACAAGATCAGTAAGGGTTGCTAGATCCCTAAAACTAGTACAAGATCAGTAAGGGTTGATAGATCCCTAAAACTAGTACAAGATCGGTAAGGGTTGCTAGACCCTAAAACTAGCAGTGGGTCGGCTGAAGCCCTAAATATCAGTCCAGCTTGGAGAGGCTGAGCTCAAAATATACTTCCTCTTTAACAAGCCACAAATAAAGAGACACACTACCATGAGACAAGCAGAAGCAGTAGGAAGCATCTACATCAAGACCAGAAGCCTAGATGTTTCGGTTTAGCATCCTTATCACCCGACGGAGCATATAAACCAACACTCAGTCGCTCTTAGGGACAAGGATACAAGTAAACACCATCTACCCGAAGGAAATGACGTGGGGGCATCTACACTGCTGAAGTAAAGGAGAAGATTCAAACATAACAAGTGACATAGGGCATTCACATAGATCTTGAAGCCTAGATGTTTCGGTTCACCATCCCTGACACCCAATAGAGCATACAATCCAACACTCAGTTGCTCCAAGGGGCAAGGATATATGGAACACCGTCTACCTGAAGGAAATAACGTGAAGGAATATATCGTCAAAACAAGAGTGAAGATCCAAATTTTCACCTCACCATCACAAGGGAAACGATGCAAAAGCACCAAAGAGACGAAGAGAAAACCCGGAAGAAACGTCTACGTCTTTCCTTGCCTTTGGAAAAGCAACACATTACTATTCCAAAGGACAAGTAAAGAGGGGCAGCTGTAGACACCCAATTTCGTCCGGGGGGCATACAAACAAGGATATGGACCTCTGTTGTGAAGGGAAGGAGCTCCCGAAGCATGCCAACAAGAAGACAAGGCTTTAAAAAAGGCTCAAAATTTTTATTGGCCCAGAACGGGCCGTTCTAAACTCGGAACGGGCCGTTCCAAGGTCCGGAACGGGCCGTTCTAGATTTGGAACGGGCCGTTCCAAGTATTTTAAAGGGGCCACAAAACCCAAATTGGAACGGGCCGTTCCAAAATCGGAATGGACCATTCCAAACTCCTCCAAAAAGGGTTAAAGGTTTAACTGGAACGGGGCTGGAACGGGCTGTTCCTAAATCTGGAACGGGCCGTTCCAGACCAACCATGTGGGCTTAATTTGGCCCCCAGAACAGGCCGTCTGAAATCAGAACGGGTCGTTCTGGTTCCTCGGAATGGGCCGTTTCAGTTTCAGAACGGGTCGTTCCAGGGTCCAAATTAACCCACAACGGCCATATCCAAAACGGCCGTTCCGATTTTGAAACGGGCCGTTCTGGACCCCCTCCCCGAAGTCTATAAATAGACAGTTGGGGGTTCATTTCTGAGGACCAGAAAATTTTGTGCAGCACTCTCTAGAGCTCGAAATCTCTCACTTTTTCTCTCTCTCTCTCCCATTATATTTCTTGAGTATTGTGAGGCATTTGTGTAGTGTGAAAGGTTGCCATAAAGTGCCTACAATTTCCATATTGGAAGATCTAACAAAGCTTGCTACGAGGTATTTTAATCAATTTTCTTCTCTCTCTTTTATTTCTTATATTTGATAAATATTGTTTATAATAAGAGCAATCATGTAGATATTTTAGAGTCAATTGTTTAATTTAAATTTTAAATCATGTAAATAATCATCGATAAAAGGGGACATAATATTTAATTTATTATTTCTTATCGCATTAACTTCATCATAGGGTACCAATTTAGGGCGTTGTAAGGGTGCTTAATACCTTCCTTACACGTAACCGAACCCCGAACCCAATTCTGGTTATCAAGGCCATTATTGGATCTTTTAAAAAATCTTTTCTTTTTCTAATGTTTTGAGTAAAACATTGGTAGTAACTCCATAGAACTCATTTTCAAAACTATTGATTAAGGATTAGTCTGGTGTTCGGGCATTCCTTAATTGATGAGACTTTTAAAGGATGTCTAAACCATTAGTCGCGAGATCAGAAATTTTCGGGTTGCGACATGTAGAAATCGTCTTCATGTTGGGCACAACTTCATGGCATCAAACGTGATGCAAGTTAGAAACTCTTTGCCTCGTTAATGTCAGACACAAGTTGAGTAGTGTTAAGCATGAATCAGTTAAAAGCTCTTTGACTTGGTTACGTTGGACAGGGGTTAAAAGGCACCAAGCATGATTGCATTAGGAGTTTTCTAACTTAGTGACGTAGGGAACAAGATGAGTGGCGTTGAGCTTGAACAATTCAATGGCTCTTTACCTTGACAATGCCAGACGTGGGTTGAATAGCGTCGGATATGGGTAAGGCAAAGGTTCTCTATCTTGGTGATGTCAAGCGTGAGATTAATAATGTTGGAGATGGTTTATAGAGAGACTCTCTATCTCATTAAAAATGAAAATAAGGATTAAATTTAGGATAAAAATGAAAATGAAAATGAAAATGGATAAACAAGAAACCATTAAAAATAAGGATTAAATTTAGGATCTACCTACTCTAAAGCAAAGGAATTGCATCTAGAGAATAAAGTGCAATAATAATTGTAACATCCCAAATTTTAGTCAATGAAAAGAAATATTAAAAAAGAAATTAATACCTGAGCTTCTTTCCACACAAGTTGAACATTACTGTTTTGTAACTCAATTGAAATAAGATTTCTTTGATAAAAGTTTGTTGGTATGTATTTTAAAGGAAATCCATGCCAACACAGCCATCTAAGATCTTTGGAAAGATATTTAAAATCTCCATCAAGTCTTACACCAGCAAGTTGAAGCAACCTAAGTTTCTCCATGTTTTTAAAAGCTTTAGTGCTCAAACATGTTGCATTATTTATTGATAACCTCAAAGCCAGTCCCTCAATAGCTTCTGTTCCCTATGAAATAAAATGGAATAAAAGGTAAAAATATACATAGCTTAAATATATGTGCTAGCTAAAGCTTTCATGAAAAAATGCATCAATTGTTTTAAGAGCTAGGAAGAAAAAACAATTCACATCTAAACTACTTTTCAACTCAATTTGTCTTTTTTCTTCCTTTAGCTATAGATACATTAAATCCAAAATAATAAATAAACATCTTACCGTTTCTTTTGCTAATACATCAAGCGCATCCTCATGAAACCATAACCTGCTACGCTTCTCAAGAACCTTTAGTGAATTTGCACGAACGATTTCCCTTCCCATGTCCCTTATCAAATCATGCATTCGAAGCTTGTTTTTATTATCAATTGTTACAAGGCTTCGCTCTACAAGGACACGTATTCCATTTTCTGCGAAAAGCCCACAACCATTTAATATATGTATAACATCATTCCGATCCATGCCAATAAAGAAACAAGCTATATCGAGGAATATATCTCTCTCAGTATCATCATTTAAACCATCATAGCTTATTTTTAACTTCTTTTGTACTTGATGATTAGGAATTCTCTTAAGTTTCTCCAATACATTCTCCCACTCTGCTACCTTCATATCAAACAAATAACACCCAAGCACTTCAAGGGCTAGTGGCAATCCCCCGGAATACGTAATTACATTTCTAGAAAGTTGGGTAAAATTTTCTTTAGGACTTGCTTGCTTGAATGCGTGCCAACTAAAAAGCTCAATGGATTCACCTTCATCCATGCCTTTCATTGTATATACTATGTCAACTCTCCCTCTGAGTATATCTTGATCTCTAGTGGTAATGATTATTCTACTACCTGGACCAAACCATTTGTAACTTCCACATAAAGCATTTAGTTGGTCCAATTCATTCACATCATCCAATACAAGAAGTACCTTTTTATAGCAAAGTATTTTTTTTAATATATTTTTTCCTGATTCAGCATTATGTATCGTTATTTTTGTTTCTTTGTTGATATCAGACAGTGAGTGTTTTAAGGGTTTTCAATTTATAAATACTCCTTGGAAGGTTATGAAGACTAATACAATCTTGCAAATTTATTCGAAGAATTCGATTGAGATGTCCAATGGTATGAGAAATCTTAGACAATTTTGGACAATCTATGAGTTCTAACTTTTCAAGACTAGGCAATTTTGAAAAGTCTGGAGTCTGTGTTAAAGAATGAGAATGACTAAGATTGAGAATTTTAAGTTTCTCCATCCGCTGCAAGAAAACAAATACCATATAAAAAAACTTTGTCTCAGAATATAAGTGACTCGGCAACTTGTTCCCATTTGAATTAAATGACATGCCAACAATTTTTGTGACCCTGAAGTGTGTGCATGTTTGTTGCATTCAATTAATGTAGAAGCATCAATGTCTGGCATTTCTAAGGGAGTTGTAGTTGATTCTAAATCCTCAGAATTTGTGGCATATAAGGCATCTATAATATTTTTTGCTTCTTGAGTTAGTTGAAGTTTTGAGTCGCACTCTATGCAAAGACTTTCAAGCTTTGGAAGGTTCTCTAAAATATATGATAGATGATGAGAACTGCTATTTGGCACATCTAAAGAAACAAGAGATGACTTTCCCACAGATGTTTGAATGCAGGATGAGAGACTATTGGTTGGTGACATCCAAGATCATTGATTAAAAAATCAACGGTTAATATTTATAATTAATTTTAAGTTTTATTTTGTAAGAATTTAGTATATCACAATTGTTAATTGATTTTATAATTAACAATATGAATACACTTTATACTCTAATATACACTTCTTTACTTTATAAAAGTCAAATCCTTAAATTTACTTTTAAATATTTCTATAATTTAATAAATGTATAATTTTGATTATCAAAATTCTTTATGACTAATTTGATCTTCTTAGTTTTCAAAATTAAACACATTGATTTACCTTTAACATGTTATAAAAAAGAAATTAAACAAAAAATGGTGACGTGTATCTATAAGTGATACTGCCCACAATTAGCAGCCACGTTAGAAAATAGTAGTTTCAAAAATTAAGAAAACAAATTATCTTAATATATTACAAATATTAATTGAAATAAAAGGATCATAACATGTCTATAATAAAAAGTAATTTTGTTCTTTATATGAAAACTAATATAATTAAAATTGTGTTTGGTAGAGAGGAAATAAATAGGTGAGAAATACAATGAAGAGAAATATAGGTAAATACAAATAACTAAGAAATTGAATAGAAATTTACTTGCTTGATTTAAGAGAAATAGGAAAAAAATAGAAAAGAAATAAATAGAAAAAATTAAATTTTATTTGATTTTTTGTTATATAAAATATTGTCTCTATGCAAATGTCTTTTGATCGATTGTAATTTTTTTAATCGATTTACACTTTCTATCGGTTTCAAAATCACATATATATGTTTAAAAAGAATTAAAAAAAAATAGTTTGTGACAATTTTTAATTGCCAAAAACAAAAAAAATAAGTTCAATAAATATACATTTTATGACCGTTTTAAACCATAAGATAATAGTTGTCACAAAATGTATTGATAATAATTTCTCTATCCTATTTTCGTGTATTAAGTGATCTTTTTTAATTTTCAGTTGACACAATTCATACCAATTGAATGATACTCTAATTTTATTTTTTATGCATTTTTTCTGGCTCTAACCAATTTATTTGTTATTTATATTATATCAAATAAAAGTTAAATAATTATCAGGTAATGTTATTAACAAATGCTTTATTATTTTTATTTAATTTTGAATAAGTTGTTAATTATAAATCAATAATACTTAATTTTTAAAGCTAATTTATAATAAATATTTAAAATTAAAATTACACATACTTAAAAAAAATTAAACCTAAAAAGAAAAGGGCCGAAACGCGTACGAGCTAGCCGCCTACTAATATATCTATTATTTTTTGTCCTTTTGTGTTTAATTTTTGAAAGGAAATACACGGTATTTTTCCTGTGTGTAGAAAATGTCACAAAGCGCGTTGGCCTACGTGACTACGTCAAACAAAATGTATACCTCACACATGATTTAATATCTTTTATTTGATAAAATAGTTTGTTTAAGTATAATGATCATTTAAGCGAGTTTTATCTTTTCTAATAAAAAATTCTATTCACAAAATTTAAAACTAAATTGTGATTAACATACTTTAAAAATATAATTATATAGTATATAAATATATTAGACTTTATTAATCTTGATAAATATTTTGAAACGCTTTAGAGGTTTTGATAAAATCTAATTACACACTAATAATAGAAAAAAAAAAGTAATTCTTTTGCAAGGAAAAAAGATAAATTTAAAACTTTAATTTAGTTATATATATTTAAAATTGAAAAGTAGCATTTTTTATTAATGAGAAAGCCGAAAACTAAAGAAACAAAAAAAAAAAAAAAAAAAAAAAAAAAAAAAAACTAGTGTGAACAACTAGAAGGTTCCCGCCGAATAGCATGAACAAAAACCAGACACTCAAATAACTAAACTATATGAGACATCTTTCTTAGTCAACTAGTGCGCATATTTCTTTGTCTAAAAAAATAAAAGTAAATTCCATTCAAACGCAGCCACTAATTTATTATTATATTATTTTTTTTTGGTGTTTTTGCCTCAACAACTCTTGACATTAATTATTAGCAATTAAAATATTACTTTTAATCTCCAGTTAGAATGGTTTTATGCTAAACATTTGGTTTGACGCTCCATTCTCATTGTCTTGTTTCTTGTTCATCAGCTTTGTGAGGCCACAATTTCTTTCATGTCTTCCATTTTTGCCCCCCGTTACTCTGTTCAAATTCCCATATTTGAGATCAATGAGGCCGGCGAAGGCGGGTTTACATTGCCTGAGCCTACGGAAAATAGTAGAGCAGCATATAGAAGAATCTATGAAGTGTTCTTGAGCTTCAGAGGGGAGGACTCACGTGCTTCTTTCACTTCACATCTCTATGCCTCTCTTCAGAATGCGGGAATCAATGTTTTCAAGGATGATGAGTCACTTCCAAGGGGACATCGCATTTCAAACTCACTGCTGCGAGCAATTGAGCAGTCTGAAATTTGTGTTGTTGTTTTCTCAACAAATTATGGAGGGTCTCGATGGTGTATGGATGAGTTAGAGAAAATAATGGAGTGTCACAGAACCATAGGGCTGGTTGTTTTGCCAGTGTTCTATGATGTTGATCCCTCTGAAGTGCGCCATCAAAAAGGCGAGTTTGGAAAAGAATTGGAAAAACTTGAGAACAGGATTTTAAAAAGTGATGACAAATTCATATTTCAATGGGAGAAAGAGAATCTGCGGCTTAACAACCTTCGTCGGAGGGAGGCACTTCGTGAGGCTGCGGGCATATCAGGGGTAGTAGTCCTCAATTCCAGGTTACTTAATTCCCACTTCCTTAATTATAACATTCTTTCATAAAATTAATACTCATATTTTTTTTTTAATACTTCAATACAATTTACTGAGGGGTTGTATTTAAAGCACTTCATAGGTCAAATATTTCAAAGATCCATGAACCACACAAGTAATCAAGTGAAAGTGGGATTCAAAAATGTTGTTGATACACACAGGTCATATTTAATGTACTTCGTCTTTGTTTTTTTATACAGGAATGAAAATGAGTCTATCAAAAACATTGTTGAAAATGTGACACAATTGTTAGATAAGACAGAGTTGTTTGTTGCTGATAATCCGGTGGGAGTAGAACCTCGAGTGCAAGAAATTGTTCAATTGCTAGACCAAAAACCATCAAATGATGTTTTACTACTGGGGATGTGGGGGATGGGAGGCATCGGTAAAACAACCATTGCTAAAGCCATTTACAATAAGATTGGCCGCAATTTTGAGGGAAGGAGCTTCCTTGCAAATATCAGGGAAGTTTGGAGGCAAGACGCTGGCCAAGTCAATTTACAAGAACAACTTCTGTTTGATATCAACAAAGAAACAAAAACAAGGATACGTAATGTTGAATCAGGAAAAAATATATTAAAAAAAATACTTTCCTATAAAAAGGTACTTCTTGTATTGGATGATGTGAATGAATTGGACCAACTGAATGCTTTATGTGGAAGTGACAAATGGTTTGCTCCAGGTAGTAGAATAATCATCACCACTAGAGATCAAGATATACTTAGAGGGAGAGTTGACATACTATATACAATGAAAGGCATGGATGAAGGTGAATCTATTGAGCTTTTTAGTTGGCACGCATTCAAGCAAGCAAGTCCTAGAGAAAATTTTACCCAACTTTCTAGAAATGTAATTATGTATTCCGGGGGATTGCCACTAGCCCTTGAAGTACTTGGGTGTTATTTGTTTGATATGAAGGTAGCAGAGTGGGAGAATGTATTGGAGAAACTCAAGAGAATTCCTAATCATCAAATACAAAAGAAGTTAAAAATAAGCTATGATGGTTTAAATGATGATACTGAAAGAGATATATTTCTCGATATAGCTTGTTTCTTTATTGGCATGGACCGGAATGATGTTGTACATATATTAAATGGTTGTGGACTTTTTGCAGAAAATGGAATACGTGTCCTTGTAGAGCGAAGCCTTGTAATAATTGATAATAAAAACAAGCTTCAAATGCATGATTTGATAAGGGACATGGGAAGGGAAATCATTCGTGCAAATTCCCTAAAGGTTCTTGAGAAGCGTAGCAGGTTATGGTTTCATGAGGATGCACTTGATGTATTATCAAAAGAAACGGTAAGATGTTTATTCATTGTTTTGGATTTAAAGCATCTAAAGCTAAAGAAAGAAAAATACAAATTGAGTTGAAAAGTAATTTAGATGTGAATTGTTTTTTCTTCCTAGCTTTTAAAACAATTGATGAATTTTTTCATGAAAGCCTTAGCTAGCACATATATTTAAACTATGCATATTTTTACCTTTTATTCCATTATTTCATAGGGAACAAAAGCTATTGAGGGACTGGCTCTGAGGTTATCAACAAATAATGCAACATGTTTGAGCACTAAAGCTTTTAAAAAGATAGTGAAACTTAGGTTGCTTCAACTTGCTGGTGTACGACTGGATGGAGATTTCAAATATCTTTCCAAAGATCTTAGATGGCTTTGTTGGCATGGATTTCCTTTAAAATACATACCAACAAACTTTTATCAAAGAAATCTTATTTCAATCGAGTTACAAAACAGTAATGTTCAACTTGTGTGGAAAGAAGCTCAGGTATTAATTTTTTCTTTCTTTCTGTATTTCATGAGCAGTTTTCACTCTTATTTATTTTTACAATTTAAATTTTCTAAAATAGTAATTTTTTTTTTACTATTTCATAGTTTTAAACACAAACTTTGTATGTGCTTTTCCATTTTTTTACATTGGAAATACATTCAGTTAAGTTTACCTTATAATCAAGTTATCACGAATATTATTTATTATTGTGGATCATTTGTTGCCGTAACTTCTAAATTAAGAATATAATTAACATTTTTTGCCAAAAAATTTAGTCTATAGGAAAAAAATGTTTAAACTTGATTCACTATGAATGTGAAATTTATTCATACATAATTTAAAAAAAGTATATTTTAGTGTTGTTAATGTTGAACCACAAAAGTCCTCTAGTGAACATCTAGTATCAATTTTGCATTTAAGGTGATGCAAATAAAGGTTGACTAAAGCAATTTTTTTTTTATATATATATAAAAGATCTGTTCTAAAGTTTTGCGGTGATTACAAGTCAAAATTTAATTTATTGTAGATTATATACTCCAATAAATTTTATTTGTTATGAATATACATGAAATCTCTTTTTCAGCTCCAAACACCCAAAGCATATAAGACCACCTGAGTTTTGTTCATTGAATTTACTATAATAAAAATAAGGCAGAGGTAAGAATTACAATTTTTATTAATTGATTACCGAAACTATGAATGTTATTTTTAAAACATATATATCCTCCAAAAAATAAATATTAAACTCTGTAAAATTCCCATAAACAACTTTTAATATTTTATTATGTATATATACATTTTTCCCTATAGATATGACTTACACACTATTACAAGACTCATAATTAAATATTGTTATATGTTTAAAAGTTTAATGTATATACATAAATATGGCTATTTGAGAAGCAAAAGTAAAATTAATCATATATGTATATGTGCACGCAATAGAAAAATGAATACTACATTCTAACTTGCAAGGTTTATAACATATACAATTGTAATACTTCCATTTATTTTTTAAAAATTTTATTGTTAATTTTTTTATATGGTATTTGTTTTCTTGCAGCGGATGGAGAAACTTAAAATTCTCAATCTTAGTCATTCTCATTCTTTAACACAGACTCCAGACTTTTCAAAATTGCCTAGTCTTGAAAAGTTAGAACTCATAGATTGTCCAAAATTGTCTAAGATTTCTCATACCATTGGACATCTCAATCGAATTCTTCGAATAAATTTGCAAGATTGTATTAGTCTTCATAACCTTCCAAGGAGTATTTATAAATTGAAAACCCTTAAAACACTCATTCTTTCAGGATGTTCAAAGATTGACAAGTTGGAAGAAGACTTGGAACAAATGGAGTCTTTGACAATCCTTGTTGCGGATAAGACTGCAATAAAAAGAATGCCTTTTTCAATTGTAAGGTCAAAAAGCATTGGGTATATTTCTTTGTGTGGTTATGAAGGATTCTCACGTGATGTGTTTCCTTCTATCATTTGGTCTTGGATGTCACCAACCAATAGTCTCTCATCCTGCATTCAAACATCTGTAGGAATGTCATCTCTTGTTTCTTTAGATGTGACAAATAGCAGTTCTCATCATCTATCATATATTTTAGAGGACCTTCCAAAGCTTGAAAGTCTTTGCATAGAGTGTGACTCAAAACTTCAACTAACTCGAGAAGCAAAAAATATTATAGATGCCTTATATGCCACAAATTCTGAGGATTTAGAATCAACTACAACTACCTCAGAAATGTCAAATATTGATGCTTCTACATTAATCAAATGCAACAAACATGCGCACACTTCAGGGTCACAAAAATTGGTGGGATGTCATTTAATTCAGATGGGAATAAGTTGCCAAGTCACCGATATTCTGAGACAAAGCATTTTGCAGGTTTCACCCTCTTTCTCTATGATATTTATCTAATTATCGAAATTTTAATAGATGAATATGTTTTTATTTAGTAGTTTTTTTCTTCTAAATCCATTTCGTCCCTAATCAAAATATTAACCATCTATAAACATAATTTACAACAAAAACAAAAGAAGTTTCCATGTGACTACAATATTAAATTACCTGATGATGTGGTAGCTAATGTGGCTACTAACATGATTGTCGTGTCAATAATTTTTTTAATAATGCAAATTTAACAAATTTAATTATTGAACTATGTGATTTTGTACACAGTCATGTATATCAAATTTAATATGATTTGTAATTTTTTATATGTATTAACCAATACTAGATATTCACATATAATTTAAATATTAATTATATATTAAAATAAAGTAATATGATGAATTATTAAATAATTTTTTTTAATTATATGAAATTTGATATACATGATCTTAAATATCATATCATATAATTTAATGATTTTATCGGTATTCAATTTGCATTAAATAAAAAGTTATTAAAGATATAAGATTTGGTGTAAGGTTTTAAACTTACAAATGATGTCAAAAAATCATGACTCCCTCTATAGAGAGAGAGAGGAGAGATCCATTTATTCTAGGAGTAAGATTAGGTATACTTGCTCTGTTCAATAACTTATATGTTATATCAAGTTTTAACGATTCATCCATTCAATTAAAAGTTTTTAATGCATAGATTAAGTCTGTAAATTTTTTAAAAACTCTAAAAACTATTTGATACTTCATTTCATTAATTCAAATCAACATTTAAAATACTTTTATGATTATCCATCAATTTGAAATAACGAAATGAAATATCAAATGATTTTTAAAGTTTTTAAAAAATTTGCAGACTTGATCTATACATTAAGACCTTTAAATTCAACAGTTGAATCATTGAAATTTAATATAAAACATGAGTTATTGAATAGAGTAAATCTACAAATAAATGGATTCCTCCTTATA